CCAAAGGTGGTAAGGGCTTGGAGTGTGGCTGAGCAGTGTGATGAGGATGAGATAGCACACTGCTACTGGGCAGCCGTCCCTGAGCCCAAGACGCTAGCTGAGGCATTGAGCGGGCCCGATGCTGAAAAGTGGAAGCAGAGTGTGAAGGAGGAGTGCAACTCTCTGCTGGAGAATCAGACTTGGGAGTTGTGTGAGCTGCCTCCTGGGAAGAAGGCCATTTCTTCCAAGCTGATTTTCAGGCACAAGTACGGACCAGATGGGGAGCTGACCCGCTACAAGTCAAGGCTTGTGGCTAAGGGGTTTCAGCAGACAAAGGGGAAGGATTTTGACGAGATCTTTACTCCAGTGGGGAAAGGCACAACATTGAAAGTGTCACTGGCAATGGCAGCAAACCGTGGATGGCGGGTGATGCAGATGGACATCACCACCACCTTCCTCAATGGGATCATTCTGGAGGAGCTGTACATGTTATAGCCTGAAGGTTTGGATCATGGGAGCGGCAGGGTGTGCAGGTTGAAGAAGGCCATCTATGGCCTGAAGCAGGCTCCTCGTGCATGGTACCACAAGCTTGAGGAGACACTGCTGGCTGGGGGGTTGAAGAAGACTGAGTGCAACCACAGCTTGTTCCTGCTGCAAGAGAAGGAGCAGTTTCTCATGCTCCTGGTGTACGTGGACGACATCCTGCTCTTCTCTGAGTCGTCTGCAATGATTGAGCGTGTGGAGGAGATGCTGGAGATGCAGTTCAAGTGTTCCAAGATGGGAGATGTGAAGTACTACCTGGGGATGCATATGGAGAGAGACCTTGACAAGGGAATGTTGAGGTTGCATCAGAGGAAGTACTGTGAGGGGCTGGCCGAGAAGTATGGGCTGCAAGATGGAGGGAAGCCAGCCACCCCACTGCCTTCGGGGTTCAATTTGGAGCCCTGTGCTGATAAGGAGGTGGTGGGTGAGAGTGACAGAAAGCTGTTTCATTCCATGGTTGGGGCACTCAACTATGTGGCTAACCATACGCGGCCGGACATTGCCTTTGCTACATCCAGACTTGGAAGTGTGGTTTCACGCCCCAGTCATGAGCAACTGGAAGCGGCCAAGAGGTTGGTCCACTATGTGAGCGCTACGGCATCAGTGGGCTTGGAGTACAATGCTGTGCGACAAAGGCTGCAGAGGGGTGCAGCTGATTTGGGCAAGGGGGAGACGCTCCTGACCTGCTACACCAACGCCACCTTCAACTCTGTTAAGGCGGATGGCACCAGCATTGGAGGCTATGTGTGCCTGTTTGGAGGTGGTGCAGTGAGCTGGCGGAGCAAGAAGCAGAACGAGGTGGGGCAGTCCTCGTGTGAGACAGAGTACATGGCCCTGCATCATGGGGCAAAGGAGGTGGTGTGGCTGAGGCGTTTGTTAGAGGAGATCGGAGTGTGCCTGAGGGAGCCGACTGTGAATTTTTTTTACAATGAGTCGGCGATGAAACTAGCAAAGAATGCTTGTCTTCATGGGCTGACAAAGCACATCAGGCCCAAGTGGCACTGGGTGAGGAGGCTCCTGGACAAGGAGGTGCGACTGGAGATTGTGAAGACGCATCAGCAGGCGGCTGACATTCTCACCAAGCGCCTGGCTGAATCTGAGCATTGGAAGGGCATGATGCTTGCTGGGATGAGTGTGTATTGAGGGTGTATGCTTGAGCTATGGCATATGGGATGATGGTAGGCAGCCAGAGGGGGAGTTTGTTATGTGATGCTATCATTTGCATTCACGTCTGTCTGCCTCCCATCACATGTTCGTGCGTTGCATGCGTTGTGTGAGCGTGTGCAAGAATTTGTGTTTTCTGTCGTTTGGATTCTCTGAGTGTGTGTAAATGTTATTTGGCTTGAGCAGATATCTGAAGTGACTCCACTGCTCAAGACCTTTCCGACGAACCAAGTATCGTTTCAATCGGAGCACGTGCAAGAAAGTTACGAACGTTAGAAGTTCGTATGCTTTTGATATTTGGTTGTGGTGATTATGGGAAGTTGTGGGGTTAAGTCCATAAGGGGTACAGACTTTTGGGGGTTGGGAAATTCGTATTTTCTACTGTAGTTGCTGCCAAATGGTTGGGAGAAACCAAACCAGGTTGGCAAGTGTGGCCAAGTTGGGTTGAGGTGGATTGTGGAGGTTGGGATAGTGACAAAGGTCAAAGTTGGGTTGCCTTTGGGGAAGGGAATTGTGTGGCATGGGGTTTCCTTGGTTGAGGACTCTCTGGGGACCTTCCCTCTCGTCCTCCTCTTCCCCTCCCACCTGGTTAGTTGCTACTCCAACTCTCTTGTGTAGTAATTGTGTAATTGTGAGACACTTGCTATTGAGTTAAGTTCTTATGGCAGCATACCTCCCTGTGCGCCAAAATTGATAAGTCAAGTAATACTTCACCTTATCGTACGATTCAAATTGGGAATTGTAGCCACAGACTAGACCTACACCATATCTGAGTTTGGTGAAGTTTTGACAGTGCACCTTTCGTCGACGGCGTTTCTTGTGAACTCGACGTTTTCTGTCCAGAATTCTAAGCCAACGTTTTTTGAGAAATTTAGGCACCTAATCTTCGTAGACTCTGTCCTTAGTCTTAACAGTTGAGTCCAGCAGAGACAGAGGAGATGGCGCAGCAGGTTAGGCACTTTCTAGCGCAGGGTTTCATACAGCCATCTAGATCCCCTTGGGCGACACCGATCCTTTTCGCGCCTAAGAAAGACGGAGGGTTACGGATGTGCATAGACTACCGCGCACTGAACACTGCCAACGTCAAGAACAGATTCCCAATACCAAGAGTAGAGGATATCCTAGATGCAGCGCAGGGCGCTAGAATCTTCTCAAAGATCGACCTTCATTCGGGTTACCTTCAGATTCAAGTAATTCCAGAGGACCAGCACAAGACGGCGTTTCGTACGAAGCAGGGGTTGTACGAGTTTAGGGTTCTGCCGTTCGGTTTCACCAACGCCCCAGGGACGTTTCAGACGCTCATGAACACAGTCCTCTCCGAGTTCCTAGGGTCGTTCGTTGTAGTTTACCTAGACGACATCCTAGTCTTCTCCAAGACGAAAGAGGAGCACGTGCAGCACTTGCAGAAGGTTTTCGAGGTCTTGCGGAAGGAGCAGTTGTACGCTAAGCAGTCGAAGTGCGAGTTCTTCCTCCCCGAGGCCGAGTCTCTAGGTCACGTCGTATCCGCTAGTGGCATTAGGACCGACCCGAAGAAGATCGCAGCAGTACAGGATTTGATAGCACCGACCTCAGTTAAGGAGTTGCAGAGCTTCCTCGGATTCGCTAATTACTACCGTCGTTTCGTTCAGGGTTACGCTTCCATCGCTAGTCCACTCACCGACCTACTTCGGAATGGCGTAGAGTTTCTTTGGGGTCCAGCGCAGCAGCAGGCGTTCGAGTAGATGAATCAGTCGCTCACGTCTTCACGGACACTGTCGTATCCCGACCCTACTCGCCCGTACGTTGTAATGACCAACGCTTCAGATTAGGCCATAGGAGCAGTGCTTCTTGAGGATCAGGGACGCGGGTTGCAGCCGATCGTGTACGAGTCGCATAAGCTGAGGGGAGCGGAGTTGAACTATCCGATTCACGATAAGGAGGCACTCGCGATCATCCATGCGTATAAGGTGTGGAGGTGCTACCTAGAGGGGGCAGATAGTGTTATACGCACAGACCACTGTTCGCTTCGTTTCCTCAAGTCGCAACCACAGCTAAGTCGTTGCCAGGCTAGATGGATGGAGTTCATGGAGGGTAGTTTCCATTACAGGATAGAGTACAAGCCAGGCGTTCGCAACCCAGCAGACCTGCTCACTCGCCCTAGTTGCCAGCTCGCTAGTCTCAGAATCACTACCGGCCATCCACTTCTCACAGCACTCTTCGAGCACGGTTACACTGTAGATCCCGACTTCACACCGCAGCCGCCCGCAGGAGCAGAGGTGCAGGGTAGTGTCTACATACGGAAGGGTACCACACGGATTTGGGTTCCAGCCTACTGCCCTCTTTGACAGCTTCTTTTTTCCGAGGCACACAACGTCGTTAGTGCAGGTCACTTCGGAGCAAATAAGACAACTAAGACGCTTAGTCGCACGTACTTCTAGCCAGGGCTTGCAGTAGACGTAGAGGATTACATTCGTTCGTGCGACACGTGTCAGCATACGAAGTCCTCTCACCAATGCAAAGCAGGACTCTTGTTGCCGATTCCACCGCCCGACCGCCCTTGGCAGGTAGTTACCATGGACTTTATCATGGCTTTGCCGCGCACAGTTAGGGGTCACGACGCCATCTTCGTGGTAGTGGATAAGTTTTCTTGAGCAGCGCACTTCATCCCCACGCACGGCAAGGTCACAGCAGAGGAAGCCGCGACGCTGTTCGTAGATAACGTAGTCCGACTGCACAGGGTTCTAGATTCCATCATCTCAGACCACGACCCTCGTTTTACTTCGAAGTTCTGGAAGCAGCTTTTCGCGCTGTTTGGGACTCGCTTAGCCATGTCGCCTGCGTACCATCCAGAGACAGACGGACAGACCGAGCGTGTGAACCAGACCTTGGAGCAGATTCTTCGCAGCATCACGATGCACGACGCAGCCGCATGGGACAAGAAGCTAAGCATGGCAGAGTTCGCCTACAACAATACGCACCACTCCGCCACAGGCATGTCATCGTTCTTTGCACTGTACGGTCAGCACCCCAATGTCCCCACTCGTGTCGATCTCACACCCGTGGTCCCTCGTGCGGACAACTTCCACCAGCATCTCACCTTCATTCATGATCACGTGAGGAAGCATCTTGAGCTCGCAAATGCACGCATGGCACGCACCACCAACCGCAGTAGTCGTGAGGTGTCGTTCGCAGTCGGCGATCGTGTTCTCTTGGATAGCCGCATCCTCCGACTGCCACGGGACAGCAAGCTTCGTCCACGTTTCATTGGTCCATTCGTCATGGAGCGCGCACTTGGTCTAGTTGCATACCGCCTCCGCCTTCCCGCTCATTTCCGCATGCACCCGTCATTCCACGTGTCTCTCCTTCGTCCATACACCGATCCCAACGCCACCTTCTCGGGCCGTGATCGCACTCCACTGCCGGTAGCTGTTGACACCGACGAGCCCGACTACCAGATCCAGCGCATCCTCAAGCACTGTCGCCGTCTCCAGGGGGTCTCTTTCATTGACTTCTTAGTTCATTGGCGTGGTTACGATGCAGCCGACGACAGCTGGGTTCCTTCGTCCTCGCCGTCTCCCGACAACGCTTGCCTTCAAGCCTACCTTCAGTCTGCAGGCGCCGCGGACGTCGCCTCATTGGGAGGGGGTAGTGTTACGGGGTACTTTACTGTTCAAGGGTATTTTACCCTAAACAGTCCCCCAACATCATCCCAACTTTAGCTTCATCCAACTCACCCAAGATTTCCAAGATTTCCTAGTGCCACATGGCACTCTAGCTGCCTTCTACTTTCTAGTCCCACGAAGTACTTTCCAACAATCGCTCTTGCATGCTACTTATTAAACCTTGTTTGTATTCCCTCATATCAATCAATTCTCATGCAACTCTTCAATTACTCAATAACTTCTTCGCCTCTTTCGCCAATAGTTTTTTCTCCAAAGTCTTCTGCCGCGTTTTCATCCTCGACTTAGTCGACCCCGCTATTCTTTAGCGGATTTAGGCCAAGGGGCTCAACAACTTCGCCTCGAGAAAATTGGCTGAGGGCATTTCTGTTTGGCGATTTGGAGCATTCCCACTCCTCCGCCCTGCAGCACAACAGTGCCAGATCGCCATCAGACTCGATTTCGCGATTGCCATGCATCCCGCCATGGCACCATCGCTCGCCCTTGTCGCTTCGCCACCGCTCTCGTCGTCGTCTGCCCACACATTGCGTCAGTACCGCGCCCTCACGCCCGCACATGGCACCAGTGCTGACCCATGCCCTCACCAACACCTTCCTCCCCCACACGCTCTCTCACTGCGTCTCCCATCCCACTGCCAAACCCTCCTGCCTCCCTTCCACCACCACCCGCCCTTCCCGCTCCTCGCTGCGACCCCCCTCAGTGCGCACGCACTGTGCGTCCTCACATGTGCCACCCGCCATGCGCCACCGCCACCCGCCATGTCCTATGTCCCGCCGCTGATCCGCGCACGGCACACCTCCTTCCCCCGCCGTCTCTTCGACCCGCCGCCTTCTCTCCTCGACCCTCCCCTCTCGCTCCCGCCCCTCCTCGCCCATCCCCCCTCGCCCCTCGCGTCTCTATTTTCGCGCATCCCTCACTCGCTCGCCCTCTGCACCTCCCCCTCTGTGCCGCCCCTCTGTGCCGCCCCTCTGTGCCGCCCCTCTGTGCCGCCCCTCTGTGCCGCCCACCGGGCGACCTCAGGCGGCATCCAGGCAGAGCCCTCACTTGCCATCCCCCCACATGCCCCCTCCTCCCTGCCATCCCCCCACATGCCCCCTCCTCCCTGCCATCCCCCCACATGCCCCCTCCTCCCTGCCATCCCCCCACATGCCCACTCCTCCCTGCCATTCAACCTTCGCTCCATCTTCTTCCCTGCGCTTTTCCTCCCCCTCCCCGCAACCACCCACCCTTTTTCCCCCGTTTTCCCTCCCCTCCCCTCCCCACAGCACCACGCGCGTCCGCCTCCCCCAGCGCGCGCTGCTGCTGCGCCGCCACGCAGCTGGCCCCCCCGCCGCACCCACTCTCGCGCGCCCCTTGCTTGCCAGGCGCATGGCGCCCAGCAGCCCTGCCCGCAGTGGCCCCCCTTGCACTCGCGCGCCCCAGGCAACCCCGCACTGTGCGGGCGGCAGCAGACGGCGACATGGGCGGCATGGCAGCCGTTGTGGGCGGCGCCGTGGCGGTGGTGGGGGCGGCAGCGGTGCTGGTGGGGCTGCAGCGAGGAGGGGAGTCGGAGAGAGCAGGGGAGGGCGAGGGGACTGCTGCTAAGGTTAAGGTGAGGCGAGATGAGGTGAGGTGAGGTGAGGTGAGGTGGGGTGAGGTGAGGTGAGGTGAGGTGAGGTGGGGTGGGGTGGGAAAGGGTGGTGGTGGTGGTGAGGGCAGGAGTGTGCGGCCATGTATGTGCGTGGACTCCAAGCACTTGATGACTTTGTTGCTCATGCAAACGTTAACTTACACGTCAGTCTACCTTTCCTTGCTCGTAAATTTACGCGAAGTTGCATGGGCAGGGCAATAAAAGAAAGGATATGCGAATGAGAAGCGATCCGACCGTGATGAGGCAGTAGCATGGCGGTGTATGCGAGATTAGTGCTTAACCACTAATGCACTAGGCGCTTCCCTTGTAGCTACTTGGTCGTCAAATGTGTTCTTTCCCAGGCCAGCCAGAACACGAATGTACGGGGTGGAGGGGCGAGTCCCACGAGTGATAGTGGGTCGCGTGCCCATCATCTCTTCCCCTCTCGTATCCATCCAAACCCCTGCTATGCCCATTGAACCTCCCACCTGCGCAGCCTCCTGCACCATACCCACGGCCCCAGCAGGTGCCGTGCGCGGCGTGCAGGGGCAGCGGCATCTGCAGCACGTGCCAGGGCGAGGGTTTTGTGTCCAAAGCTGCCAGCGCTGGGCGGCCCTCCCGCGGACTGGGCTCCAACCCCCCCTCCGCCCAACGCTCCTCCGCCAGGTGCCACGGGGGGGGGAGAGGGAGAGATGGTGGGGAGAAAGGAGAGGGGGAAGGGAATGTATGGAAGGGATGAAGAAGCGGGTGAAGGCGCAGGGGGGCGGGAGAGGAGGCTGGCAGTGGTGGTGGATGGGGATGGGTGGGGCTGCTCACCCCCCTGCTCACGGGTGTTGCCGGCTTGCGAGCAGAGATGGGTGTGCTCATGTGCGAGCAGAGATGAGTGTGCTCATGTGCGAGCAGAGATGGGTGTGCTCATGTGCGCGCAGAGATGGGTGTGCTCATGTGCGCGCAGAGATGGGTGTGCTCATGTGCGCGCAGAGATGGGTGTGCTCATGTGCGCGCAGAGATGGGTGTGCTCATGTGCGCGCAGAGATGGGTGTGCTCATGTGCGCGCAGAGATGGGTGTGCTCATGTGCGCGCAGAGATGGGTGTGCTCATGTGCGCGCTGTCACCCTGCTTTCCTCCATCCACCCTCTCCTTGCGCCTGCCTGTCACACACTTGCTATGCACACACCATCCACGCCAACCACACACCATCCACACCACACTGACCACACTCACACCACCCACACCACACTCACAGGTCACTCTCACTCACACTCTCACGGTTCCACTGCCCGTCCCATGCCATGGGTGGGTGGGATGCGGTGCTGGCAGGCTGGCGAACAAGTGGAGGTACTGTGTGGCGTGCAACGGGGCTCGCGTGTGCGGCACGTGCGAGGGGCGCCGCACCGTGGACGCATGAGGGCGCTGCACTGCAGTGAGGGCGTGGGTGGGTGGCATGCTGCCACGGTGCAACATGCATAGGTCAATATACTAGCTAGGGTGGACTGTGGTTTATGCCTGTTACTCCTGCCCATGTCTAGTCGGTGCAGTGAGGGCGTGGGTGTTTCAGGTGCGAGTGGCGCAATGGACAAGGCACGCACCACCACCGACTGGCTAGACATGAATACCAAGGCTTAAACAACACATCATATAAGCAATATCTATTTTTTATAAGCTCAGAACAAGTGCAAGGCGAGGCGGAGAAGGGGCGGGGCAGGGCTAGGTCCACACGATCTCGTACACCTTGCGGCTGACGGCCTCGCTTATGCGGCGCCCCTTCACTGTGATGCGTGTCAGCAGCAACGCCTGCCCCTCTGGGTTGCCCTCCTGCCATGCCGTGTGCGACATGGGTATGGGACATGGGATGGGAGCGTGAGGAAGGGTGTGATGTGAGAGAGAGCAAAGTTCTGTGCAAGAGAGAAAGTGAAGAATGGATGTTTATAGAGTGAGAGGCAACACAGTTACACAGGGTGCAAAACAAGTGAGAGAGGAACACATGGTATGAGTGAAAGAGAAAGAAAAAAAAGTGTAGAGTGAGAGATGGAGTAATGGGCAGGCAGGCACCATAAGCTGGTAGGCATTGACGAGTGCCCGCAGTGAGGGGAAGCGGCGCAGCACAGCGATGGCCGTGTCCACTGAGACCGAGCGCACCTGGTGGGGCAGTAGGGCAGGAGGGGGGCAGGTGTGGAGGTGGGGGAAGTGAGGGTGAAAGGAGAGGGCAATTGAGGTAAGAGAGTTGGTGAGGAGGTTGATTGTAGTGGAGTTCATGCACGTCCCCCACCATCAGCACGTCCCCCACCATCAGCACATCCCCCACCATCAGCACGTCCCCCACCATCAGCACGTGCAGCAGCAGCACCCCATGCGCCCAGCACAGCGCACCTGCAGCAGCAGGTGGCCGAAGAGGTTGCAGACGGAGTCGGACTGCACGGAGCGGCACGTCGCCACGAACTCGCCGTACAGCGGGCAGGGCGGGGGGGGCGCGCCGCCCGCGTGGGCTTGCTGCTGCAGGTGGAGGTGCAGCGCGGCAGCGGCGTCGTTGTAGCGGCGGGTGAGCGCGGTGGTGATGTCGAGGTAGCGGTGCTTGGTGTCGTGCAGCGACGCCGTCTGCTGTATGTCCACCCCCTCCTCCATCTCCGCCGATATCATGCTGCCCAGGGGGGGGGTGCGATGGGTGAGAGGTGATATGGCACACAGGACGCACAGCTGAGAGTAGAGAAAAAAATCGAGAGTGTTGCAAAGCAGAGAGTTGTAGAGACAGAAAGAGTGATCGTGGGAGAGAACGTGATGAGAAAGTGAGAGAGAGAGGTTGAATGGAAGATCGGGGGCAAGCAAGTAGTAGAGGCAGGGGAGAGCGGGAGGGGAGGGGCGGGGGGGCGGACTGACGCGGCTCGGTTGGGGTCGGAGGCGATGAGGTCGTCCAGTGAGCCGTCCACCAGGCACAACAGACGCCGCACGCCGCACCGCTGAGGCAGCAGAGGAAGAGAGACAGTAGGGGGCAGAGCAGATCATTGCATGACAGGAAGGTGAAAGCCACACGCTCTGCCTTGACGTGACGTTCAACTAATCTCAGAAGAGAGAGGCCGATTGCTTTCTCATTCGTGATGCGCTAGGAAGGTGTAAGCTTCACAAATCCTTTGAGCTCAAGTTGGTGCGCCAACCGCAAGCAAATCAGGCGAACCTTCTAATAGCAAATCAGGTGAACCTTCTAATAGCAAATCAGGCGAACCTTCTAATAGCAAATCAGGCAAACCTTCTAATAGCAAATCAGGGGAACCTTCTAGTAGCAAATCAGGCAAACCTTCCAATAGCAAATCAGGCGAACCTTCTAGTAGCAAATCAGGCAAACCTTCTAATAGCAAATCAGGCGAACCTTCTAATAGCAAATCAGGCGAACCTTCTAATAGCAAATCAGGCAAACCTTCTAATAGCAAATCAGGCGAACCTTCTAATAGCAAATCAGGCGAACCTTCTAATAGCAAATCAGGCGAACCGTCTAATAGCAAATCAGGCGAACCTTCTAATAGCAAATTAGGCGAACCTTCTAATAGCAAATCAGGCGAACCTTCTAATAGCAAATCAGGCGAACCTTCTAATAGCGTTGAACAGTCACACGGGCACGCCCGCTCACCTTCCATCACATTCTAACCTGCATAGGCACGTGCAGGGCTGACCTGGCGGCAAGAACATGCCCACGAGCCTGCAGGCGCATGGATCATGGGTCTGACCTGCAGGCGCAGGCGCTGGTCGCGGAAGCGGGAGGACTTGATGGCCATCCAGAGGTCGTGCGCGCGTGTGAACTCCACAATGAAGTCCAGCACATAGTCGCGCCCGCTCGCCCTCTGCCTCGCCACCCACATGGCGTCGCCCGCTGGCAGCGCGTGCACCTGGGGGGGGGGAGGGCGGTTGAGGGATGCGAGAGGGGGGTGGCAGGGATGTGAGAGGTGGGGGGAGGAGGGGAACTGTTGAAGAGAACGGGAGGGATGTGGCAGGCGAGTGGCATGCACCATGCATGGCAGGCGAGTGGCATGCACCATGCATGGCCCTTCCTGATCCGTGATGGCAGTGCAGTTGAGGGACGTGGTGCAAGGGAGTTCATAGTGGTGGAAATGGGAGTGCAGAACGCTGCGCCATGGGATTGGGGGGTGTGTCGCTGCAGTGCGCCTGCTCTGCCACCACTCTCTCCATCCCCGCCCCTCTGCCCTTCCCTCCCCATGCTCACCGCACTGCCTCGCCCCTCACCGCACTGCCTCGCCCCTCACCGCACTGCCTCGCCCCTCACCGCACTGCCTCGCCCGTGGCCCCAGTGCATCACCTCAGTGGCGAGCCCAAACTGCGCCGACAGCTGGTTGGCAAACACGGGCCCGTGGCATCTGGGGGGGGACAGTGGGGGGAGGGCCCGCCGTGAGAGGCTTAGAGGCTTGACCCCGGGTCCGGATCCGGGTCCGGGTCCGGGCACGCTGGCACGCTGCTGGCCCACAAGGGTGTGAAGCGAGAAGCAGCAGCCCTCAGTTGCAGTGCCATGCACCAGGAAACATGTTGCCCCCCTGCAACATCGCTGAGCCACCCCACCACCACCACCACCACCACCACCACCACCACCACCACCACCACCACCACCACCACCACCACCACCACCACCACCACCACCACCACCACCACCACCACCACCACCACCACCACCACCACCACCACCACCACCACCACCACCACCACCACCACCACCACCACCACCACCACCACCACCACCACCACCACCACCACCACCACCACCACCACCACCACCACCACCACCACCACCACCACCACCACCACCACCACCACCACCACCACCACCACCACCACCACCACCACCACCACCACCACCACCACCACCACCACCACCACCACCACCACCACCACCACCACCACCACCACCACCACCACCACCACCACCACCACCACCACCACCACCACCACCACCACCACCACCACCACCACCACCACCACCACCACCACCACCACCACCACCACCACCACCACCACCACCACCACCACCACCACCACCACCACCACCACCACCACCAACACCACCCAACCACCGCCCACCGCCCACCGCCCACCGCCCAGCACCCAGCACCCAGCACCCAGCACCCAGCGCCCAGCACCCAGCGCCCAGCACCCAGCACCCAGCACCCAGCGCCCAGCACCCAGCGCCCAGCACCCAGCGCCCAGCATGGGCAGCACGGCAGCAGCCATAGCTCACTCGCTATCGCGGTTGTCAATGAAGATGATGACGTCATAGGCGTCTGAAAAGCGCTCCCCCACTGCCAGCGGCGGCACCTGCCAGTCCTCCTCGCCCTCCACGCCGCTGCTGCCTGCCCCGGGGGGCAGGGGGGAACAGGGGGATGCGTGAGAGCAGCCAGCGAGGACGGAGGGGATGAGGGAGGGGCAGGCGGGGAGGGCCAATGTGGAGTGGAACGGTGTGGTGGAGTGGCACGGTGTGGTGGAGTGGCACGGTGTGGTGGAGTGGCACGGTGTGGTGGGTGGGTGGCATGGCGGCATGGTGATGGCGACATGGTGATGGCGGCATGGTGATGGCGGCATGGTGATGGCGGCATGATGATGGCGGCATGGTGATGGCGGCATGGTGATGGTGGCATGGTGATGGCGGCATGGTGATGGCGGCATGGTGATGGCGGCATGGTGATGGCGGCATGGTGATGGCGGCATGGTGACCTGGGAGGTCGAGCATGGCGGAGGGGTCGTTGAGCAACTGCGCGGACCACTGCACTGCCTGCCACCCGTGGCGTGCACACGGTGAAGAGGGATGAAGAGGGGTGCATGAGAATGTTGCGGAAGGGGGGGGGGGAGGGGAGGGGGGGAGGGGCAGGGGGGCATGGAGGGGCATGGAAAACGTGGGTGCAAGAGGGAGGGGAAAGCGGTGCATGCCTCTCCCCACATAGTGAACGGATGATGCGAGCCGTCTCTCATGTCAAGGGTGGGATGGTTTTCCGAATAGGAGGGACGCAGGGAGGTGGAAGGACAGTGGGCCTTGGAAACTGGGTTGTGCCAAAACATTTCAACCAGGCAACGTCCCTAATGAGGCTCACAGTATTGTAAAGATGGGGTTGGGCATGGCACATGACATGAGGTGAGACAGGGCACATGACATGAGGTGAGACATGGCACATGACATGAGGTGAGACATGCACGAGGGTGCGATGGCCATGTGCCATGATGTCAGCAAGGAAATGCTATGACGTCAGCAAGCACAAGGTACGTGATACCATGTGGTGCGCGGAGGCATGAAAGGCGTGGTTAAGGTCGGGCGCACCTGTCTGCCCACCGCTCCCCCCCCAGTGTCCGTGGGTTCTGCTTTCCGCGCGTGCGATGGCGTGCGCGGCACAGCGCGGACACCAGGTAGGGCGACAGGGGGAAGGGAAGAGAGGGAGGAGAGAGGAGAGAGCAGAAGCCTTGCAATGGAGATTGGAGAGATAGTAGGATGGTTGCAGAAGACGGGCACATGAAATCATTATGTGCATGGCAGTACACATGCATCATGGCAGCACACACACATCATGGCAGCACACACGCATCAAGGCAGCACACACGCATCATGGCAGCATACACGCATCATGGCAGCACACAACCGAGGCAGCATGTGAGTGGGGGAGGGGCAGGGGGGCAGGCAGCGAGCACCTGGCAACAGAGCAACAGCGGCGGGGGGCAATGGCATCTTGGAGCGGCGCAGGCAGTCCACCGCCACGGCATGGCCCTCCTCCGACAGCGCATAGCTGTGCGGGCCGTAGGGGAGAGGGCGGTGGACAAGATGGGGTAGCATGGGAGCAGTGGGTAGTGTCAAAATCCCAGCCACTAGACCACTGGGATAAAATGGCTTGTTAAGTAGCGGGTCAGTGCGCCCATAACCCCCCAGGTCAATGAGCCTGTAACCCTTCCCTAGGATCAATCGGGCATCTCCAGTGCAAGTGTTCTGACAGGTAGTTGGTGGGGTGCGAGGCACGCAGCGTGCTGCCACAAGTGCGTCATGCAACTACATCCCACGAGCAGCATCTGACCTTGGGCGGCGCAGAGTGAGCGCGGTACCTGGGCGGGTGGGCGGTCTTGACGACGAGGTTGTGCTTGGCGAGCGTCTCCATGCTGCTCCACCCGCATGCAAACTGCTGCAGCGGCGCCCCCCCCCAGCTGCGGTCGTCCGGGGGCACCGTGAACCTGCCCGCCCAGGCAAATGAACACATGGTGGGGGCGAGCACACACGCCAGTGGTGGTTGCATGGTGCAAAATGCAGAGTGGGAATGACTGGATCCTACTTTGGTGGAATGCGTGGGAGGCAGAGCAGAGCAACACACGGCACCTGATGACGGAGGCCAGCAGGTTGGCGTCCCTGGAGGCGGCCATGAGCTCCGCCACTGGCACTGCTTGCCGCCCCTTTGTCTTCTCCCTGCCATGCCACGCCATGCCATGCCATGCCATGCCATGCCACGCCACGCCACGCCACGCCACGCCACGCCACGCCACGCCACGCCACGCCACGCCACGCCACGCCGTGCCGTGCCATGCCACGCCATGCCATGCCACACCATGCCATTGTGAGGCAAGGTGCCGCATGTGAGTGAAATGCAAGACTCTCGAGGCATGGCATGACATGACATGGCATGGCATGGCATGGCATGGGATGCAAGTGATGCGAGGCAGAATGCAATGACCTCTGAGCAAGGTGCAAAAAAACGACCGAAATATTGAAATTCTGGCGTATATTACGCTATCGTATTTTTCAGCCGTTTAAAACGTTTTAAAACGCCAAAAGGTGGTAATTTTAATGTGGTGCAAAAAAACGGCCGTTTTTTACAGCAAAAATCTTGAAACCAGCTGGTTTACACATATGTTCAAGTATTGGTTCCAACCATGGAACCAGCCATGAGGAAGACAAAGGGGATTTATCAGTGGGATTGTAGTTGAACGGTGACTCCGAGGAGGAGAGGATGAAGAGTCTGGGGGGGAGGAGGAGGAGGGTTGAACGAGCGCAACCTAAACACTTTGTTAGCATTATATTGCTTCTTCGCTATCCTGGTCAGAAGCGGAGTCATGTCTACTGTCTTCAAAAAAAAAGAAAAAAAAAGGTCACAAAATCTCTAACAAAAAAACGACCGAATTTTTGAAATCTGACCGTAAAATACGAGCGTAAAAAACGAACCGTATTTTACCTTTGCCGAAATTTTGCACCTTGCCTTTGAGAATTCTCTGAGGGGCTCACACTGGCAGGTGGCGTGAGGGGAAGGTAGGGAAGGGGGCATGCGGGGAGGAGGGCAGCGGGAATGGGGGCAGTGGGAATGAGGGCAGTGGGAATGGGGGCAGTGAGAATGAGGGCAGTGGGAATGGGGGCAGTGGGAATGAGGGCAGTGGGAATGGGGGCAGTGGGAATGGGGGCAGTGGGAATGGGGGCAGTGGGAGTGGGGGCAGTGGGAATGAGGGCAGTGGGAATGAGGGCAGTGAGAATGGGGGCAGTGGGAATGAGGGCAGTGGGAATGGGGGCAGTGGGAATGGGGCCAGTGGGAAGGGGCCTAGGCGGGGGCCCTCACAGCAGGAGGGTGACGAGGATGGCGAAGGCGGCAGAGCCGCGCTTGGGGGAGTATTTGGGCGGCTTGCGCGGGATGGAGTCCGGCATGGGCGCTGCTGATTGGTCCATGCCATGTGCCACGTCATCACCTGCACACACGAGGCAGCAGCTGTTAGACGCTCCCACCGTGCTAAGCCTCGTCCCCTCGCCCCTCTCCTCCCTGCTGCCTTTCTCTCTTCCTCGCATGCATCTCACTTTCTCCTGCACACACGCATACACTGCACACACTTTTCTCGCTTGCGACACCCGCCAAGCTGCACCCCATGCGCTGCTCCTCCCTTTCCCTTTCTCCCTTTCCCTTTGCCCCCACCTCCCCTGCCCCCACCTCCCCTGCCGCCCCGTAAACTTCTTCCCCCCCCACCTCCCACGGGAGCCATGTCCATCGCCCCTCCGCCCACCGCCATGCCCGGGTCGCTGCCAGCTGGCAGCGCGCTATTGGCGGGCGGGGTGGGCGGGCGGGGCCGGGCGGCGGGCTTGTGGGTGGCGAAGAACGCCTTGAGCTGGCGCTGGATGGCGGGACCCACGTTCCTGCGGGGGGGGAGGGGGGGGGGGATGGGGGGGATGGGGGGGAAGGGGAAGAGGGGAAGAGCAGAGGAGGGGGGTACGGGGGATGGTGTTGTGTGTGCGGCGAGGGTGCGGCAGTGAGGCGTGCGTGCGGAGTGCAGACACGCGGATGAGTGCCGCGAGGAGGCACCTGAGCTTGCTGGCGTCATTCAGGGTGCGCAGGGGCAGCGAGTGGTCGCTGATGCTCGCGATAGCCATGCGGAACGCGCGGGTCAGCGCGCCGTCCCACTCGCCGCACAGCTCGCGCTGCCGGCCCTGCAGGTACGCCACCACCGCCTCGTTCTCAGCGCACCGCGCACTCGCCTTCACCGCCGCCATGCCGCCCGCCGCCTCGCCGTCGCGTGGCGCGGCGCGCCAGACGTCCTCGAACCTCCGCAGGCGCCGCTGTGACGCTCACAGGCGGCAGCGGCGCAAGCGCGCAGTGCGAGGAGCACAGGAGGATAGGCGGGCACGCGCGCAGGAAGCACGGCACTGCGGGCAGGCGGGCACCGCAGGGTGGAAAGAGCCGCTGCGACACGTCTGTGAGTGCGATCAACTAAGCGGTCGGTCGCGGAAAAGGTCCCATGACATAAGTGCGTGGCTTGATGACGCAGAGCTGACGACGGAAGGCGTATGGCGCCTCGACGACAATTCCAGTGAAAATCGGGTAAATAACTGCAAACCCTGAAATATTGTGTCTCTAGTGTACAAGTCGTCCACTTCGCGGAACACTGAAAAGAAGGGGCACTTCGACAATGAGGACTCTTCGATACAGTACGATGCGGAACGGTCAACTGCAGGTGCAACTTATAGGGCATGGAACGTCTCGTTTGGTTGGGTTGGGTGTCCGAGGCCAGACATAGGAGAGCAACTAAGAAACACAGCGGCACCAATCCGAGCTGCTCACACTCGCTCCAAGTCTCGCCTCGCGTCTCGTCGCGCAAGAGTCACGAAGCGAGAGCAGATGAAGTCGACGGTACCGCGTGGAAACATATAATCGTTCGACGAGGCAGCTAGCGACCTGTAGCCATCGTTCGACGAGGCAGCAAGCGACCTGTAGCCATCGTTCGACGAGGCAGCAAGCGACCTGTAGCCATCGTTCGACGAGGCAGCAAGCGACCTGTAGCCATCGTTCGACGAGGCAGCTAGCGACCTGTAGCCATCGTTCGACGAGGCAGCAAGCGACCTGTAGCCATCGTTCGACGAGGCAGCAAGCGACCTGTAGCCATCGTTGGTGGGAATTTGCCGCGTGCCCCCTCTCCTCTCCACCCCCCCCCCCCCCAACTCCTGTTCGTCCGAACAACCCCCGTGACCCGTCCCGGCCGTGCGCAGGCGGGGATGGGCGCGCTGGTGTCGTGCTTCGACTGCTTCCCGCGCGGCGAGCGCCCGCTGACCGACGCGGAGAGGCAGGAGGTGGCGCATGCGCGCAGCAGAGCTGCGCAGGCCGCGGAGGAAAGGTGCCCGCGGGGATGGGGGGAGGGAAGAGCGGAGAGGGAGGAGCGGGGAGGGAGAGTGGGGGGAAGAGGAACAGGGGAGGGAGGTGGGGCAAGGGGGATGGGAGAGGCAAGGGGGATGGGAGAAGATGGGGTGCGTGTGGGCAGGGAGAGAAGGAAGAGCGCAAGAAGATGGGATGGGTGGGGAACTGATTGGATGGGAAAGCTCTAGGATCAGCTGTGATGTGACGCCACGCTGCCATGCGACCACTGAAGCAGCCACTCCATCTAGCAGCCCCTCCATCTAGGAGCCATGCAGCAACCCACTAATCCTTTGAGTGTGTTGTCTTGGCTCACGCTCTTCCGCGCCACCCGCAGCTCGCCCTTCACCCATTCATCCCTCTGCCCCCTTGCCCAACTCCCCTCGTCCCCCCAGGGCGGCGCGCTTTGAGAGTTCAGCGCAGGGGAGGGCGGCGCGCTCGGCCATGGCGGCGGCTGCTGCCAAGTCGCAGGGGCCGTCCAGGGAGGATGACATCGCACAACAGGTGCCGCTTATGCACGCCCGCTTGATCAACATTGCTTCTGCTACCACAGGGTTTCGTTTCTCTGCATTGCCTGCCAAGTACCATTCATTTTGTGGCTTTTCGTTCTGCCTTTCACATATCGCACACATCTGTTCACTCCGTGCCTAAATAGCCACGATTTTTTAGCAGCCATGAATGAGCCAACCCGCTTCCCCTCCACTCCAAGTGTACTGAATCATTTGCCTTGTTTTTTCCCTGCAGTGGAGATCAGGGTGATCATGTGGGAAACTTTAAATATGCTGTACTGAACTATGTAAGCATTGTGGAAAAGCTCTTCCTTCTGCCAATATAATGGGGTTCAGGTGTAGGTACATGCAAATAAAGACACGGTATGGTTGTGATGTGACTGCCAAATTGCAATTGTGCTTGTTAGGCTATAGTGGGGCACTCCATATGGCTAGTACCAGTTCTGACGTTTCATTTTGGGCCTCCCTGATTCCGGGGAATTTGTTTCCCCTGTATTATGAGGGCACATTTTCCACAAGGTAGCCACTCTGATAGCTCGGTGTCCACCATAGTCTTACTCTGATTCGGCAGGGTTCAAAGCATAAGATCAGGGTTGCTTTTAAATTTGCTCTACACTTTACGAAGTCTTATACATCATGTAGAAACTTTTCTACACTATCTAGTGCACGGGCATGTCAATGTGGTACACCTCCTCCACGTCCTCATCGTCCGACAGGAAGGGGTTGTCCTCCTCCCCCACGAGCTCCTGATCGTTGCCCAGGTTCTGTTCCACTTCATCCTCTTCCTCCTCCCCCTCATCATCGTTCTCCCCGGAAGCTCCAGCAGCCACGACTTCACCCTCCTTCTGCATTCACAAAGCTTGCTTTCTCTTATGATTTGGCATCGTTCTCATTTCAACTGGCAGATTATAACATGCCTCTCAAGCTAGGAAACAAAGTGCTAGTACATATTTGTCAAATGTTGTAGCCTGTAGTGAGGTTTGTCTTAGGGGGTACAGAAGTTAGGGTTTGTCATATGTACCCCAACCAACATCAATGCAACACTCATTCCTCATTCTGACATGGTATCAGCTAGGTTAGGATCCTGTGGGATCCCGTTCCTCCGTTCTCCGTTCGTACCTCCCGAGCCTGATCCTACCTCTCGTTCGTACTAGTTTCGTAGTTACCGCGCCTAGTACCGAGCCTAGCGTCATCTCCCCCGTCGCGTCACGCCTGTTCCCCCCCGTCGCGTCACGCCCGTTCCCCCCGTCGCGTCGCGCCCGTTCCCCCCGTCGCGTCGCGCCCGTTCCCCCCGTCGCGTCGCGCCCGTTCCCCCTGTCGCGTCGCGCCCGTTCCCCCCCGTCGCGTCGCGCCCGTTCCCCCCGTCGCGTCGCGCCCGCCTGTTACCCCCCCCCGTCCCGTCGCCCTGTCCCGTCGCGTCGCCCTGTCCCGTCGCCCTGTCCCGTCGCGTCGCCCTGTCCCGTCGCGTCGCCCTGCCCTGTCCCGTCGCGTCGCCCTGCCCTGTCCCGTCGCCCTGTCCCGTCGCGTCGCCCTACCCCGTCGCGTCGCCCTGCCCTGTCCCGTCGCCCTGCTCCGTCGCGCCGCCCTGCCCCGTCGCGTCGCCCTGTCCCGTCGCGTCGCCTTGCCCCGTCGCGTCGCCCTGCCCTTTCCCCCGTCGCGTCGCCCTCCCTAGGCCCTGGCCTGTCGCCCTTCCTAGGCCCTGGCCCGTCGCCCTACCCTAGGCCCTGGCCCGTTGCCCTACCCTACGTCTTGGCCCGTCGTCCTAGCCCGCTCTTCCGCTGCGACTGAGTCCTCTTCCCCCCCCGGTTGTTACTCGCCTGTTCGTTCTCACTATGGCGACTTCGCGAGTTCTTCGTTTCGACGCCGACGGTAGACCCCTTGACTTTTCCGTCTGGCTTCTTCGCGCTCGTCGTCTGTTAGAGAGTCAGGTCCAGGGGGGCGAGACCCTCTGGTCACACGCTACTGGTGACCTCCCCGAGCCCCCCGAGCCTACAGCTTTAGGCCCTGCTCCTGACGACGCTGCTACGGCTCGCTTTGCCCGTCAGCGCGCTGACCGGACGGCTTGGACGTCGCGTGACGCTGCGGCCTGCATCGCACTCAGCAGCCTCTTCCCTGAGTCCGAGGAGGTCCACTTTACTCAGGTTCGCACCGCTGCTGCGTACCTCACTGCGATTAAGGCCCGCTACTCTACTCCCGCTACTGTCTCTCTCGGCCGTCTTTTCCTCCCGTTCCTGTTTCCTGATCTTGCCTCGTTTGAGCGCTCTGCTGACTTGATCGCTCACCTCCACTCGCTCGACGCTAGTTACCGCGCTGCTTGCACTGAGGCACAGCTTGCACTGCTTCCTCCCCCCATGGCGATTACTGTCTATTTCATCGCCACTAGCCTCCCTGACCGCCTTGCCTCCGTTCGTGACGCGCTTCTGCTGAAGCACCCTAGTGAGCTGACTATCGAGGTCCTTGAGTCTGCACTCAAGGACGTCGAGAGCAACCTTCGTTCGGTAGCTGCCGCCTCTGGTACTGTTTCCCCCCCACTCTTCCACGGGTGCACAGTCCCGCAGTTACCCACCTTAACTGCCTCTCTTGCCACTGCCGCTACTGACGCGACTGCGGCTGCTGTTACGACTGCGTCGCGGTCCCGCGGCAGGGGGGGCAAGAAAGGTGGTTCCGGTGGAGGTGGAGGCGGAGGTAGCGGAGGTAGTGGGGGTGCTGTTGCGACTGGCGGTGGTGGGAGTGCAGCGTCTGGAGAGACCCCTCGTGCAGCGGCCGGTGACTCCACTGCACCTGCTGGTGGCGGCGACCCTCGAGCTCGTCAGTCGCCTCCTGTACTGCCGGCCCCGCTAGGTGGAGCAGCGGCGTGGTACCAGGCTCAGCGTGAGCAGCACCTTCAGCAGCAGCAGCAGCCCCTTTCCTCCCAGCAGCCTCAGCAGCAGCAGCGTCAGCAGCTGGCTCCGGGGTCGGGGCTGCGTCAGCCCCAGCGCGGTGCTGCTTACCCTCCCTGCCCCTACCAGGTTCAGACAGGTCCTCGTCGGGGCCACCCTTGTGGCCGCTTTCACCCCCCTGGTCAGTGCTTTGCTCAGCTCACTGACACGGTCCGGTTGACCTACGGGGTTGGCGGTCCTGCTCCTGACTGGCTTCCTCTGGTTCAGCGCTACGGCTCCGCTCTGTGGGGCATGTCTGCTGAGCAGTTAGTTGATCTGATTAGTGCTCCTCATGCTATGTATGCTGTTGTTGACTCTAGTGTTTCTGACTCTGTTTACTCTGGTGTTGTTAGCTTAGGTGCTAGTCTTGCTCAGTTGCCTGTTGCTAGTGTAGGTACTTGTGTAGACTCTAGACCAGCGACTACCTCAGAGGACGCTTCGCTGTCGTTCACACTGGACTCTGGAGCCTCCCACTGCTTCTTTCGGGACAGCACGACACTTACACCACTTCCTGCGCCTGTTTCTGTAGCGTTGGCTGATCCCACTACGGGACCAGTCACTGCACGTCACACTACCACTTTACCGTGTCCTGCTGCTCCCTCCGGGTCTCTCACTGGGTTTCACGTCCCCTCGTTCTCCCGGAACTTGGTGGGCGTGCGACCCCTCGTGAGCCAGCACGTGGGTGTGTGGTTTGAGCCTTCTGGAGAGACTGCGGTGTGTGTTGACGGAGACTCTTACCAGCCTCTTGCTACCTTTACTGCTGAGCCGGGCTCGGGTCTCTACACTCTTCACACTGGCCCGCGTGCGCCGCAGCAGCAGCCGCAGCAGCAGCAGCAGCCGCAGCCGCAGCAGCAGCAGCAGCAGCAGCAGCACCAGCGGCCGCACCAGCAGCCCCCCCTACTGCCACTGCCCCCGGTTCCCCCCCCCGTTCGTGTCCCCGCGTCTCACCAGGTTGCTACGTCCCCCCAGGTGTCTGTGTCGTGTCAGGTTCCTACGTCTGTTCCAGTCGCTGCGTCGTGCTCCTGCCGGTCGCTTGCCCACCCCACCGTTCTGTGGCACCACCGGATGGGGCACCCGTCCCTTCCACGTCTGCGCGCTATGTCTAGTCAGCGTCTTGTCCTAGGCCTCCCACGTGTCTTGCCGTCGCTGCCGCCTTCGCCTGCGCCGCCGTGTCGTCCCTCCGTCGAGGGTAGGCTGCGCGCCACCCCTCACTCCTCCTCCCTTCGTCCGGCCACCGAGCCTTTTGAGACGCTTCACTTGGACGTCTGGGGCCCAGCCCCTCGTCTAGGCCCTGAGCGTGAGCGTTACTTTCTGGTGGTCGTTGACGACTTCTCCCGCTACACCACAGTGTTCCCTCTGGCGAAGAAGTCTGAGGTGACTTCTACGCTGATCAGGTGGTTGCTCACCACTGAGGACACTCGTGGTCGTCGTGTCAGCTGTCTCCACTCCGACCGTGGGGGTGAGTTTCGCTCCGGCATTCTCGCTGGATTCTGTCGCGAGCAGGGCATTCGTCAGTCCTGGACGCTTCCAGAGTCCCCACAGCAGAATGGGGTTGCTGAGCGCCGCATAGGCCTGGTCATGGAGATCGCCCGCACCTCCCTGACTCACGCCTGTGCCCCCCATTTTCTGTGGCCCTACGCGGTCAGGTACGCCGCGCACCAGCTGAACCTCTGGCCACGTGTCTCTCGACCAGAGGTTTCACCGACCAGTGTTTGGACAGGGTCCCCTGGTGTTGCGTTGCGGTTTCGTGTCTGGGGGTGCTTGGCTCTTGTCCGCGACACCTCCGCGGACAAGCTCTCGCCTCGTGCCGTCCCCTGTGTCTTCCTTGGTTTCCCT